CGCTGTGTGTGTCTCTCTCTCTCTCTGTCAAATAAATAAATAAAATCTTTAAAAAAAAAGTGTTAATATCTTTTGCTTGGGTTGGTATACAACGTTCATTTAAGTTAGACAAATGGTAGAGAATAAGGAGAAAAGGAAGAAGACAGGCAGAATGAGGCAGCCACCAGAGCAGACAGAACAGATAACTACAATTCCAGAGCACCCTGCTATCCTTTTTCTTTCCTACTTGCAGAGGAAGCAATTTATAAAATGTATTAAGGAGAATCCTGCTTTGACAGAACCTATCCTTTGGTGTCACTCTCCAAGACAGTGAAACACGAATCTGCCTGCCTTGGAGTGGAATTTTTTGTTGTTACATATAACTCTAGAACCTGCTCCTATTCTGCGGAAAGATTGTTGGTATCAGGTAAAGAAAACCTCACCACTAGTTTCCCATCCTCTTTGATTCCCATAACATTTGCTCTACCATTATTCAGAACTCCTCAGTGCTACAGTCTAGTAATTGGGTAAGGTATCTATAGCCCTTAAGAGATTGTGAAATTCTTGAGGGCTGGGATTACCTCTTGTTAATTTTTTATTTCTAGGGCATGGCATGGTGCCTAGCATCTAGAAGTCCTCAATATATGATTGTAAACTAGTGAAGGTATTGTGGCTCATCTCTATAAAGATGACTACAAATAACAATTCCAGATGCTGGAAGCCCTACCAAGAATGGCAAACTTCCTACTACCTCCCCTATTCCAGTTGGTGTAGGGCTTTGGTTCTCAAGTGGGGTCCCCTCAGACCATCAGCATCACCTGAGGACTTGCTACAAATGCAATTCTCTGGACATACTCCAGACCTACAGAATCAGAAACTATGGGAGGGAGGCCCAGAAATCTGTAATTTAACAAGCTTTCCAGATGATTCTGATGCACACTGATGTTTGAGAACCAGTAGTGTAGTAGGAAGTCCAACAGGGTCTGTGCCCTTGCCCTGGTTCAGCTTAGCGGCCCTGTGTCTAACCATGAGAGAATCCCTAAGCCCCTCAAAACTCTGCCTTCACAGGGAGAGTTGGAATGATGCCTGAGAACCCTTCTGGTCTAAAATTCTGCAAAATACCAAAGACAGAAAGAAAGTAAATAAATGTTCCAATGACTAGATTTAGTCATTCATTCAGCAAATATGTACGTACCAGGCAGTGACCTGGACACGGAATCAGTGCAGGACACAAAATTACTCCTTTTTATTTTTTAAGATGTTATTTATTTATTTATTTATTTGAGAGAGCGAGGATGCAGGAGAGCATCAATGAACAGGGGTGGGGGGTGGGGGTGGGGACGGGGCAGAGGGAGAAGCTGACTCCGCGCTGAGCAGGGAGCCCCATGCGGGGCTCCATCCCAGGACCCTGGGATCATGACCTGAGCCGAAGGCAGACACTTAAACCAACTGAGCCACCCAAGTGCCCCACAATTACTCCTTTTTAAATAAAGTTGCAAGATTGCAGACCACAAACTTACCTGTCTTCTGTCTACAATAGTCTCACATTGCATTTGTTGGGGAATGTGAACTGGAAAACTGAGAAAATGATCCAGAATTCTGACCACCCCTCTCCCAAATTACTTGGACTTTAATTCTTTTGTTTTTTGTTCTTTGTTTGTTTGTTTTTTTTTACTTTGACCTCAATTCTTAAGCTCTTGTGTTTGCTTAAGGGGCTTCAGTACTCATGTGTTAGGAGACAAGCGTGTGATAATAGATGTGATTATCTACCAAATTAGAATATCTCTGGGTCTACATTATTTCATGGCACAAAGTTGCTTGCTGTTTTAAGAAATCGAATTCCAGGAGCGCCTGGGTGGTTCAGTCGTTAGGCATCTGCCTTCAGCTCAGGTCATGATCCCAGGGTCCTGGGATCAAGCCCCGCATCAAGCCCCGCATCGAGCCCCCGCATTGAGCCCCGCACCGAGCCCGCATCCGGCTCCCTGCTCCGCAGGAAGCCTGCTTCTCCTTCTCCCGCTCCCCCTGCTTGTGTTCCCTCTCTCACTGTGTCTCTCTCTGTCAAATAAATAACATCTTAAAAAAAAAAAATCGAATTCCATCTAATTGTCACCTCATTGATTCTCTTTTCTCATTACCAACTGTATTGCTTAAGTTCCTGTGTTGGCCATTCGCCTTTTTTTTGTTTTTGTTCTGTTTTGTTTTTTAATTTATTTATTTGAGAGAGAGAGCAGGAGGAGGGGGAGGAGCAGAGGGAGAGGGAGAAGCAGACTCCCCGCTGAGCAGGGAGCCTGATGCAGGGCTTGATCCCAGGCCCCCGGGATCATGACCTGAGCAGAAGGCAGACACTTAACTGACTGAGCCACCCAGGTGCCCCTCCTTTCTTTTTGATCTGCCTCCCTCCCACACTGACTCTTGTATACCCCACCACACAAACTCAGTACCTAGTGGGCTCTTGTAAGGTGCTTTATTTTTTTTTTTTTTAAGATTTTATTTATTTATTTGACAGAGAGAGACACAGCGAGAGAGGGAACACAAGCAGGGGGAGTGGGAGAGGGTGAAGCAGGCTTCCCGTGGAGCAGGGAGCCCGATGTGGGGCTCGAACCCGACGCTGGGATCATGACCTGAGCCGAAGGCAGACGCCCAACGACTGAGCCACCCAGGCGCCCCTTGTAAGGTGTTTTAGACTATTTAGGACATTTATTGAGTTTAAACATCCTTTTTTAAAAAGAGATTTTATTTATTTATTTGACACACAGAGAGAGAGAGCATGCACAAGCAGGGGGAGCGGCAGAGGCGCTCCTAAATATCCTTTTTAAAAGGACCTCTTAATGGGATGCCTGGCTGGCTCAGTTTGAAGAGTATGCCGACTCTTGATCTTGGGGGTTGTAAGTTCTAGCCACACGTGGGGTATAGAGATTCCTTAAGTAAGAAAAATAATAATAAAGTAAAAAGAACTTTTAAGAAAAAACAAACCAGGGGCGCCTGGGTGGCTCAGATGGTTAAGCATCTGCCTTCGGCTCAGGTCATGATTCCAGGGTCCTGGGATCGAGCCCCCCACATCGAGCCCCACATCGAGCCCCACATCGAGCCCCACATCGAGCCCCACATCGGGCTCCTGGCTCAGCAGGGAGCCTGCTTCTCCCTCTCCCTCTGTCTCCCCCCCTGCTCATGCTCTCTCTCTCTCTCTCTGTATCTCTGTGTCTCAAATGAATAAATAAAATCTTTTAAAAAAAAAAAAAGAAAGAAAGAAAAAACAAACCAAAAAGCCACCAACCACACTTGGACATTTGATTCTCTGACCTGTTCACATTTCACTGCATTTGAAAGGACAGGAGATGGCGCCAGAAGGCAGTGGAATGCCTTGGGTTTAGCCAACTCCGGGGTAAGGAATGTGCTGGAGAGAAGTAGGAATTAAAACAAAGGTACCAGAGTTTGAGTAGCTACTAAGGTGAAGGGAGTGCGGGGGGTGGGATGGCATTTTGTTTCGTTTTAACATAGAAGGGTCCTCTTGACACCTACTCCAAATTAGCTTGGTGACTACAGAAATATCCATAGTAGAGCCAAAGAGCAAAATAAAGGCAAGTGCCTGGAGGACGGTGCTTGCCTCCTTACTCCCTCCCTCCCAGAAACCAAGGTCTTTGTCTACTGGGGAAGGACGAGGGCCTGGAGAGGCTGCTCACTCAGAAGTGGGAAGGTGCTGATTTGGGGCTAAGACATTTTTGTGAAACAATGTTTATTTCTGGAGGCAAAATCCCAAATCCCACCAGCAGTGAAACACTTCCCCGAAGCAATCACACACACACATTTTAAATTAAAATTTTTAAAAATTACCAAAAGAAAAAATTCATGAGACAACCAGGAGGTGGCGCCTGGCAAGACACACTATCTGCCTGGGGAAGCTGAATTACAGCCACAGACGCTGGACGGGGACTCTGACCTAGCGAGGTCATTCTGTCCAGGCCCATTCTTTCCTCCCATGCAATAGATGTCTCTGCTTTTCTTCCTTTCTCTGTTTCTCTGTGTTAACTATCCTGATTCCCAGGATGTCTAGTTTACACTTTATGCCTTTTATTCTTCTTAGATGAGAGGGGTGGGGCTTTGGGGAAACCCCAAAACATAAAATGCGCCTTGTAAGGGAAAAATAATTCTGTGGGTGATGAGAAAATGAAGAAGGAAATGACATCCGCCAAATGGTTTTGCTTCGCACATCAATCACAGGGGCCAGAAAGGCATGACAACTCCTGCCTCAGTGGGCACTGATGATCCAGCACATGCATTATTCTGTTCATTTGGCTTTTATCCTGCTCCCTTATTTAGCTTCTGCTCCCTTTGTTTTGGCTATTTCTTGCTTCTTGGCAGGAGGGACAAGCGCAGAGGGAGCTCAAATGGGTGCCTCCTCAGGGCTGGTAACTCTGGTGAAGGGCACGGAGGGGAAAGAGGTCTCAGTGTCTAGCTTGAAATTATCTGTGTGTTTCACATTCTCTAATGAGGGCTTTAGGATGTACATTCCAATCGGGATTTCCAGTCCCATGGGGAAACAGGCACCAGCCCACATTCCTGAGACCCAGCAGCCTATGCTCTACTCATCGAGCTCTCTGGTGGCAGATTTCACTCAGTCCCACATGTCCGGCCTCAGCCCTTTGTTGAGCAGGAGGGAAGACCCTGGGCCCCACTTCCAACTAGATCACATGGTCTCTCTCTACTCCCTCCCCTCCTTTTCTCTAGAGTCCGCCTTTTTTTTTTTTTTTTACGGTGGTAATGATTGTTTCAAAGGTCTCCCCATCTCTCTTCCTGCCCTGGCCTCCCTGCCAGGGGTCAGTGTCCTCTTCAATGACAAAAGCCGCCCTAGATCTGGGCTCCCTGGGGAGGGAGGTGGCCGGGTCTGGCAGTTGGAGCCGCTGTCTCTCCGTGGTGCTGCTGCAGCCCCTCCCCCACTGGGCACACAAATGGGCTTTATACAGCAAACAAAACCACCCCCCCACCCAGGCCACACAGGCACGTGGACCCAGGCCTCACCGTGGGAAGGGGGTGGTGACAGGCGCAGGAAGAGATCGGTCCAAACAAGTTCTCTTGCCTCATTTCTCTTCTTTATTTTCCACAAGCTAGGTTTTAGCCCTTGACTTCCTACCCCTCACCTGCACCCTGAGTCCCCAACTCCTATCTCCGAACTCTGGACCCTTCCTATTCCGGGGCAATTCATATTCTGCAGGGGACAGCGAACAGGTCTTCCCACCCACTGCCCCATGCCACCCAGGGGAGTTGCTCCTCGGAGAAGCCAGACGGGGAATGAGAACACAGTGTCCCCCTGAGGGGGCTGGATTGGACCCCCAAGCCCTCCTCCCGTGGCCCAGGCCCACTCCAGGGGACACCCACCTGGACAGTGCCCATGAGAAGAGCAGAGGAAGGAAGAGCTCACCCCAGCTGGGCGCCTGAGCCAGGGCCCGGGCTCCTGTGAACCCGCCGCGAGCTCCAACTCTGCATGCCTAATCGGCTATTTAAGGAGCTGTTCACCAGCGACCCAGGCAGCCCCCCCCACCCCACACCACCACGACAAACACTCGTCCAGAGCCACCTTAAAAGCAGGAGGCGATTGTGAAGTCGCTGGCCAGCAAGTGGAGTGAAGACTGTAGAGGTAGATGAAAAAAGAGAGAGAGGCAGCGAGAGATTTGTCTTAGGGACCCAAAACCCTTCGGTACCCTACTGAAAACCAAATCCTCTGGAAGCTCATAGAGACAGCAAGAGAAAAAGAGATAAATACAATCAGCTCAGGTCCAAGAAACTCCTCTCTCACTCTCTCTCTGTCCCTCCCTCCCTCTCCCTCTCCCTCCCTCTCTCTCTCTCCCTCTCCCCCCCACTCTTTCTCTGCCAACCCTAGTCCTCTAGTCCCCAAACTCCCAGTACCTGCTTCTTCTGGGGATACCATGTTGTTCTTCACTCTCCTGCTGGAGGTGATTTGGATCCTGGCTGCCGAAGGGGGTAGGTACATCTGGATGTCTGTGTGTCTGTCTGTGCTGATGTCCACATGCTCTAGGTTTACTTAATGGAGCGAGGTGGGGGGAGGGGGCTATAAAAGGAAGCCTAAGAGCTTGAATAATAGACTCAGGGATGTGGGGGAAGAGAGAGGAGTGGGGAGAAGAGCACTTTCCTTCTTCCCCCTTTGCTTGTCCAGCCTTGCTGTTTGTGGGGATGGGGGGGAGGGTTGGGGAGCTAGCTGGGGAGCAGGATGTGTACACACACTGCGGGAATCGCTCTCCGCACTCTTTCCTGCACCGCCCTAGTCCCAGGCAACCCTCCCAGGCCTTCTTTATTTCCGAACTCCCTCAACTAGGGAGCCAAGGAGGCAGCGAGTGAAAAAATAGAGAGGACTCTATACCCCTGCACCTCCTGACTAACTCAGACCCTGATCCCCAACTATGAACTGCATGGCCAATGTCCACTCTTGATTCTATGGGGCGACTGGTTTCCCAGTTTCTCCCTGCAAGCAGTAGCAATAACAGTCAACACTGTTGGGCCCTTTACAGCTTACAAAGGACTTTCAGAAGCTCCTAGGACATGAGGAGGACTCGGGAGACCAGGCTTCTGGGTGCTCCCAACAGTGTCCCCAGGACCCCTACCCCTTATTTTTGTGTTTTCTAGGTCTAGCACAGAATCCAGTACACAGCAGGTGTGTAATCAAGATCCCTTGGAAGAGCAGGGGGTGAGGGGAAGGGCCTGAAGAACAGCAGGGGAATGCAGGGAGGATGATGGGGTGAGGGGGCCAGCCAAATGGAAAGCTGGAAAGTGCATCTGAGGGAAAAGAAAAAAACAGGGAAAGAAGAGGAAGAGATGAAGAATCAGCATGTTGAGGATTTGGTGGGAGGGGAAAAGCAAGGCTGTCAGCCTGCACCAAATGGAACTGGGGAATTCAAGTTGACTTGAGTGTCCCATGGAGCTGGTGAGTGAGACGCTGCCTTCAGCCCTCCCCCTTGGGCTGCTTTTCAGAGTTGTCTGAACCAAGGGGTGGGTCAGAACAAGAGCCTAAGGATGAGATCAAGGATATCTCAGAAGTCTGAGGAATTTGAGAATAAGAGAGAGAGAGGAAGGAATTTCGAATTTTTTTCCCCCAGAGCTTGAATTTGAACTAGTATTGGAATAATCCAGAGAAAAGCGGCAGGAAGGCGCAAACCATTGGCCCTGCGTGAGACTGGACCAGCAGACCCCCAGCCTTTCAGCCTGAGATAGGGCTGCAGGAGAGGCTGGCATGTGACCCGGCTGGCAGCTCTCCCTTCCACACACAATGCTTCACTTTCAGCCGGTCTCTGCCAGCGTCGCTGCCTGGGCCACCCACCACCCTCAACGTGGCGGGGACCCTGCCCCGACTCCCACCTTCCCTAGCCATCTGGGGATCTAGAGAGCAGAGGCTCCCGCTAACGGGGAAAGCTTCCTTTAGAGCTGCTAGGACCCTAGGAGGAACTTCAGTGTTAATTCACAGCCAAGGGCGTCGCCTCACGCGCCTGACACGACGCTTTAGAGCAGATGAATAATGGCCCTTCTCCCCTGGGTAGCACCATCCCCCACACACAACCTCCTCCCCCCCCCTCTCCCCCCGCCCCGTTCTAGTCCCTCTCCTCCAAACCCTCTGTCCACGCCCTCACCTCACCCTAATCTTCTAAGTGTCGGACTGGCTTGGCCCCGGCTGGAGAACAGTGAGGACCGGGGCAAGCTGCACTTTTGGGTCCAGGTTAATTTTAGTCTCCGGGCTCTCTCTACTCCCTTCCCCTTCTCCTCCCCCTCTCCTCAGCACGCGCCTGCACTGCCCGGCCGGCGATTTTAAATCGGCCCCCCGACCTTTCCGCCGAGGTGTCCGGTTTCAGGGCTTCCTTCGGGAAGTGCTCGCGGAGGAGGGTGGAGAGAGAACAGAGCGAGGTGGGGCGGCACAGAGCGTCCGCGGGAGGGAGAGTGCCGGCCCACGCTGTCGTCCCCCCCCCCCCCCCCCGCCGCTGCGCTGGCTGCAACCCCGCTCTCTCTGCCTTGCAGGTCAACACTGGACATATGAGGGTGAGCGCAGAACCCAAGGCCTTCCGCTACCCCTTCCACACTGGGACCTCTTCACCTGCCGGGAAGGCTGCTGTCGAGTGTGTGGGGAGTTCCCTTTAGTTTCTTTAGCTTCCGACCCTAGCTCCTCCTGCCCCCCCAGGCCCCCCGGCCCAACTTTTTATGTCAATGACTCCTAGACCCTGTTCTGTCAAATCCGGCCCCCACCCCTCCACCCCCACCCCCGATTCAGCAGAAAGACCAGTGATGTCCGCGGTCAGCCTGTGTGGGAATGAGGGAGCTGGGGTGGAGAGGAAACCAGGTAGGGAAAGGAATACTGAGCTTAGCTGCCCATCCACTTCCTGGCTCTTTTTCTGACCTCATAGATCCTCCTTGCATCTGGAATTGGGACAGAGCCTGAGGTCAGGGGTGACGAAGAGTCTGGCAGGATAGTTGGTGACCCTGGTGGGGGTGTCCCCTGAACTGCTGACTAGCAAGCGAATTCCAGAGTCAACGCAAGGTCCTGTGTGAGAGCAAGAAATGAATGGTGGGAAGTCAGCAGAGGGAATGCAATCCCCAGGCCACTTCATAAGGGGGCTCCCAAGGAGACTTGCTCTTTCTAGGATCATTTTTTCCCCAGCTTTCCTGCCTCTGTTCTAGTCCCACCTCTCCAGGCATGCAGGTTTTCTATTCATCCCCTTTTCCTTTCATTCAGCTTTCTTGTCCCCAAACTACAGGTAAGTAAAAGCCACTACTCTATCAGGAGTAGTCTATGAGGAGAGCTGGGGAGTCATCACTGCCTCAGGGAAGGTGAAGGGTGCTGCCGCATCAAGTCCAGCAGGGACCCCTGCCTCACCTAGCCCTGCACAACTGGGGTCTTCGCCAGGGTTGGGGGGGTAGTTCCTGAAGGGTGGCTGGGGCTTGGAGGGTAGGACAAATGTCCGTGGTAATCCCCACCAGGCCCACATGGTCAAGACCACTGGCCAGCCTCTTACCCTGAGTGTGGAAGCAATGCCCAATCCCCCATCAATATCCAGACAGACAGTGTGACTTTTGACCCTGAGTTGCCCGCTCTGCAGCCCCATGGATATGACCAGCCTAGCACTGAGCCTTTGGACCTGCACAACAATGGCCACACAGGTAAAAAGCCCAGGCTCCAAGGAGGTGTAAACTCCAGTTCCAATCTTAGGAGTCAGGGAAAAGAAGCATTTGCCTAACTTCTAAATTCCTAGAAGGCTTCATCTACAAATTCAGATATGTGAGAATGGGGATGTGGTTCCTTAAAGCCAAAGGTGGGGAGTGAATGTCTACAATCAGGGTGGACTCAGCATCATAACATCAACTTGATCCTCACTGAGAAAGGGAGAGCTATGCTGGAAAAGCAGTGGTGGGAAGGACTGGGTGCTACTGGGGGAGGGAGGTAGAAAAGGCTGGCCCGAGTCTCCCAAGGAGCAGTGGCATCGGAGGGGTGGGAATGTGGCCACACTCCTCCACCAACCCTAGCTTGCTCTCTTTTCCTCACAGTGCAACTCTCTCTGCCCCCTACCATGTATCTGGAGGGACTTCCTCGAAAATATGTAGCTGCCCAGCTCCACCTGCACTGGGGTGAGACAGGGTCCGTGGGCGGATCAGAGCACCAGATCAACAGTGAAGCCACAGCTGCGGAGGTACCAGGGAGCAAAGCTTGGACTGGGCCATAGTGACAGGCATGGTCGGTGCCAGAGAATGGAAGGATCTGGAAACTGAGTCATACTTGGAGGATGAGGCCAGCCTTTGTGGGACAGGTTTAGGGCACGCTGGAGGTGGAGGTGGTGGTGGCTAGGGTCAGAGCTTTTGGGAAGGGGTAGTGGAGAAACATTAAATGATTTCATTCCCTCTCCTCTCCCTCAGCTCCACATTGTACATTATGATTCTGATTCCTATGACAGCTTGAGTGAGGCCGCTCCAAAGCCTCAGGGCCTGGCTGTCTTGGGCATCCTCATTGAGGTCAGTGGCCCCCAGTCCCTCCCAGGTCTCTCGCCCTCTCTCTGCCCCCCTCAGTCCTATTCTGCCCATGTCTTTTGCTGCTCTCCCTCCCTAGGCTAGTCAGCAACCCACTCTGACCGTTTACTCCATGTGTGAACGTCTTACTCCAAACACGGACTCATCCCCAACTCTCTCCCTTCCCAGGTGGGTGAGACCAAGAATCCAGTTTATGAACACATCCTGAGTCACTTGCATGAAATTAGGCATAAAGGTGAGCCTGAGATTAGACTTCGGGGGCACTTCCCCAAAAAGGCCTATGAAGCCTGGGATGACAGTGAGTTAGGGGCCAGGGGCTTTGCTTCTGGGAGTGCTATCTAGGTAAGCTGGGGTACAGTGAGGGAAAGAGGAGTCCTAGTCTGATCTCCTCCAGATCAGAAGACTTCAGTGCCTCCCTTCAACGTGGGAGAGCTGCTCCCCCCACAGCTGGACCAGTTCTTCCGCTACAATGGCTCGCTCACCACACCCCCCTGCTACCAGAGTGTGCTCTGGACAGTCTTCCGTCGAAGGGCTCAGATTTCGATGGGACAGGTGAGTGGTGGAGAGGTGAGGCAGCAGAGACATAACCTCAGACCCTTTCCCACTCCACAAAGTGAGTGACACTTCTCCCCTAATCCCACTCTTCTACTCCTCAGCTGGAAGAGCTTCAGGAGACGTTGTTCTCCACAGAAGAGGAGCCCTCTAAGCTCCTGGTACGGAACTACCGAGCCCCCCAGCCTCTCAATCAGCGAACAGTCTTTGCTTCTTTCATCCAAGGTGACTGCATAGGGCTTGGAAAAGGAGATGGGAAATTGGGGGACTTGGTGGGAGGAACTAGGGAGCCTCTGGGAAGAAAAGGCAGGCTAGAATGGGAAGGAGTTTCTAGGACTTGCTTGGACTGGGAATACCCCCACCCCGAGTGCCAGGTGATGATCTCCCCCAGCATAGAGGCATAGTGTACTGCTCCCAGCTGTGATGGGGAGCTCAAGTCCCACTGACCCATGTCTTCCTTCCTTACAGCGAGATCCTCGTATACTACAGGTAAGACAGCCTGAACCAGGTGTGGGGGAGGGGAGTGGCGCTCCACAGTGAGTGAGGGAAGGTCTAAGTATCTATGTTAGTCCTAGGATGACATCTTCTGTGTTTCTCTCAGGTGAAATGCTGAGTTTAGGAGTGGGGATCTTGGTTGGCTGTCTTTGTCTTCTACTGGCTGTTTATTTCATCGCTAGGAAGATTCGGTGAGGTCCTACTTTCCATTCCTTTGGTCCTTTCTTTTCTACTGAAAATCACTCTATTCCATTTTTAATCTGTTTCACCTAGGACACTAGTCATTTCCATGAACCATTCCCCCTTCCAGGAAGAAGAGGCTAGGAAACCGGAAAAGCGTGGTCTTCACCTCAGCACGAGCCACAGAGGCATAGACTCCCTCACCGACATCATGGATGCCTTCCCCTCATGCCAATCAGGGAGCTTCTAAACTGAGCTGCAGGGACTGGCCAGAAAATACTGTAGGAGTAGTGGGCAGACACCCCTCCTTCCTCCAGACAGCCCCTACAGAGAGGCACGGACAGGCTCTTGTTCGTGGAATAAGAGCAGATAGCCTTCGACCTCTCAAAACCTATAGATCAGGACAACCCTATGTTGACAATGCAGACAGCAAACTGTGTTTAGTTGTAGGGGAAGTTGGGGATGTAACCCCCAAAGTCCTCCACCCCCTTACCTTTATGTCCTTTTCCCTAGATATAGGGCAGGACCTCCCCTTAGGAAAAAGACTTGTTGCTGTTGGGGTTATATTTTTTTGCTCAATATACCTGGAAATTAAAGTTTCTAATCCCACCTCTGGTCTTCCTTTGGGGCTCTTGAGAGTGGGGGAGTTCCTTAATCTCTCAGGAGGCAGAGGTGGGCAAAGGACAGCGGGAAAGAAGCATGGGTGAATAACTCTTTTTACCCCAGTCCTGCAAGGGGAGATCCGCCTCTGGAAAATACTTAACCCAAAGTTCCTGACATGTGAGACCATGAGCCCAGATTTCTGTCCTTGTACCAAAGCTATGCTGAGGGGGATCAGAGGTTGCCAGATAAGGAGGTTGGATAAGAGATGTGGGAGGACAGAAATCTCGATTAATATGTTATCCCCTCCCTTAAAAGCCAAGTTCCCCCACAATTATAAAGTCCTGTTTATTAGTCAAAATCACAATCACCTTGATTAAAAGGATGGAACATGCCATCCTCAGCAGAAAATGATACAGTTTATAGAAAACCTCCCCACCCACCCCCCCACACCCCAATTAAAAACTAGAAAAAAATCTGCCCTCCTTCCCTGTGATGTCATGGTAGTCTGACTTCTCCAGTGGCATTGCAGCTCTGGAGTGGGCCAGCTCACCGCAGCACCCTCCACTTCACCTTGGGGAGGGGAGGGATGCTGGTGGTCAAGGAGGTTAAAACATTAGTTCCAGTAATACCAGTTTCCCAAACATGCACTTCCTTCCTTTCCCCCAAGGCCTGGGACAAAGGGGAAAGGTGGACAGATATAAGCCCCACCATGAGGAGCAATTTGAGGAAGGAAAATATAGTTCAAGGAGGTTAGAAGAATTCCAACACACCTCTTCCCTCCCCCATTCAAAAAAAGAAAAAAAGGAAGAAAGAAAAAGAAAGAAAGAAAGAAAAGAAAAAAAGAAAGAAAAAGAGAGAAAGAGAAAGAAAAAGAAAAGAAAAACGCAGTTTGGGGTCTTTATCACACCAAAAATGGTTCCCCTCAGACCTGAGAAAAATACCAAGACGCCCAGTCTGGGGAGGAGGTACTGGGAAACTGAGAGCTCGTCTACCCTTGAGCCTCCATTAATTTCATCTCCACAGCAACAGCTAAACTAGGTCCCTTTTCTTGGCAACCTGCACTGTCCAGAACTGGAGATGGAGAAATACAGGGCGAGGAGATCAGGAGGGCACCCCAGGCCTAGGGGTTCCCCCCCACGTTCCCTCAGTCCTCGGGTGGGATGCGCAGGGCAGAATACACCATCACCCGACTGTCCTCCTGCCGTCGGCCTGCAGAGGGGAAGGGGGGTGAGTCTTGCGCAGGGTGAGGGCAGAGCACTGACACATGGGGAGTCCTGGACAACAAGGGGGTCCCCAGATGGTGGGGATAAGTACAGATTCAAACCCACCAGTCACTGACTGGCTGAACCCAGGCTGCTCCTGGTGAAGCCTAGAGACTAAAGGTCACGAGTGGACAAAGCAAAACCCTGAAGGTGGTGGGATAGACCGACGAGGAGACAGAGAATGGTGGGCAATGGACCCGGGCTAGGGCTGGGCTCAGTCATGGGCAGTGGGCAGGCAGGTGGGATCTGTCAGGCGATCAGTCCAGGTAGTCAGTCCTTACACGAGAGGCTGCGCTGGATACTTCGGAGGGAACCTCCAGCTGTGATGAAGGCCCAAAGGCCCATGGAAACAGTGACTGCATAGATGGGCAGCAGGCTGGCCTCGTACCAGGGGTTCAGGAATGTCTAGGGATGGGGTAAGGGTAGAAAAGAAGTTAGCTTCTCTCTCTGCCTAATCCCCACATTCTCTCCGTGCCTTTGACCCAAACCTTCCCCCTCCCCCCCGACCCCGCCCCAGGTGGCTCACTCAAATCCCCCAGTCCTTCCCTTCAGGGCACCAACATCTTGTGGTTAAGAGGACTTTTGATTTTTAGCTCCCTCATAGGTTTCTGCCCCTCCTGCTCACCTCAGGCCATTTGTATTAGAGTTTGACTAATCCATTCAAACTCCTCCCGGAGCATCCCCAGAGCAGGTTATACAACTGATGCTGAGGTGAGAGACTTCTCAACACTTACCTCTCTGCCTCCTCCCTCGGTATATTTTCAAATGTTAAGAAGTGAGAATATATCTCCCCTCCATCCCACTCACCATTAAACTTTTTTCTCTCTAACTTGGGCCCATGTCCCCAACTCACCAGTCCCGAGGTCAGTAGGTGACTCCCAACCACCAGGCCCAAAGCCCAGTACCGTCTCCTCTCACAGGCATCAAAGAACACAACTCCCCAAAAGGTATGGAGCAGGATAATGGCTGCTGTCAGAAAGGCTGCAGGGAGGGAGATGGGGATGAGCTACATCCCTCATCCTCTCCCAGCCTCCTGAGATGTTGAGCCAAAGAGGTCTCCCAGTGAAGGCTAATACATCAGATCAGGGCCAGGGATGGATGGGGCATGAAGGCAAGACAGAAAGCAGGCCTTACCTGAAGTCAGGAAGTAATAGGGTGAGTCTCCATGGATGCCAACCACACCTGGCCCAAGCGCATCAGCCAAAATATTGATAACAGAGAAGACACCACTGATGATACCGAAGGAAAGACCAGAAACTGGAGGGAAGGAGGGTCTCATCAATGTCATAGATCTCTACAGCCTGATTACCAGTGATCCCAGTCGCAATTCCCCCACACCTACTCTCCCTCCAGACCACCTCCTTGGAAGTCAGGTATGAAGGAAAAGCAGCAGCCACTTAGAACACGTGGTTGTTTTCGACTTCCCTGGGAGAGGGGGGTGTCCAACTCCCTCCTCCAGTCCCTCTCCCTTGGCTCACCATAGGCCATCTGGCGGATGGAGATGGGTGATCTTCCGTCCTCACTCAGCGATGCTAACCCCTCATCTGCCTTCCTGGGATGGGGCGGGGGTGGGGTGGGGTAGGGGAAATATGAGGGAGGGCAGTAATGCTCCTTTCCCTCTAACGTCCTCCCTTAGTGCCTCCTCTTCCAAACCCACCACCCAGGGGCTGCCCCACTTCTCATAGTGCAATCCTCTGCCCTTCTCCCCTCCTAACCATCCCATCTTCTTACTTAAGCAGCTTGTAGTAGGCAAAGCGGAACACCTCCTGTAGAAGGACAGAGACCGCAGCACCAAAAATCAGGAGGCCATACTGGAGCCGGGCATCTGACCGGTCGGTCACATGGACCAAGATGAACCAGACCACAGAGGCCAAGAGCAAGGAGACCAGCCAGAAAAATGCCCTGAGGAAAGACAAGGGCAATCAGACAGGTCAGGGTAGGGAGAGCCAGGGAAATCAAGGAGGGGAACCAATCAAGGCTGCAGCATGGAAAGTGGAAGTTAGACTTCCGGATGGTCAGGGAGACTGGGAGGAGACAGGATCGGTGTCTCCACCAAGGGGGTCATGTAGGGATCTGGACCGGGGGAAGGGACAGAAATCTGATTAATGAGTCTTCAGAGCGATGAGAGCCAGAATGTACGCGCACAGTAGGGAGAGGTATCCATTCCTGGATCCTCCTCCCTCAGGCCGGCGGAGGTCAGCACACCCCCCCTCACGAGTCTTGGCCTTGGGCCTCCTCTGACGTCGCCGGGAGGAGTATAGGAGGAATCTGTGCGATCCCTGGAAGGCGGAAACCAACTGCGGGAAAGGGCAAATCATCTAGACCCCTGACTCGACCCTTTCCAATCTTCACCTCCGACTTGTCTCCCCCAACTCAGGCTCCCAAGCTCGCCCAGCCCCTTCCGGATCTCTCTCTCTGGCGCCCTCCCGCGTCTTGTCGACCCCCTACTCACCCCGCGACCAGAATGATTACGCGAAGAGGGTCCCCAGCCACAGTGATCAAGAAAAGCGCAAAGGCCGGGCCGAAAGCGACGAAAGTGCATCCGAAAAACACTGCGGCCCCCATGGCTGGGCAACCGGGGGCGGGGTGGAAAGCCTGGCCAAGAGGGGTGGATAGGGGGAGGACGCCAGCTGGGGAGTCCGCTTGGGGTGGCGACGCGACCCCGTGAGGGGCGCGGTGCAATGTCACCCCCGGACCCCGGGGAAGGGGAGGGGGGGACACCGAAACCCCAGATACAGGTCCGCGGGACTTCCTCTACGGAAGCCGAGGAGGGAACAAACCCGGCCGCAGCCCCATGGCCACCTCCCATCCAATCCCCACCCCCCGAAGGCCAACGGAGACTCGGCGGGGGCGGAGCTGCGGGGGCGGGGCGGCACTACCTGCTGGGAGTTGTAGTCTTTCTGCCCTACTGAGCTTTCGACCTGAGTTCCGGGAGTGGCTCGAGCGGGTGAAAGGAGGGAGTGGGTCGGGACTGGCCCGGGTTCATGGGTCTGGTTGGGCCTTGGCTGCGTCTTCCTTTCGTTATTTTGTGGGGGAAGGGTAGTGGCAATTCTACGTCTTCTTGAAGAGCTGCAGAGGGGGGGAAGATCCTGTTGGAACCTAAAGGACAAATACAAAGAAAGCACAGGATAGAGGGTGCAGGGAGATAGGGACGGGTATTGTTCTTACTTGAATGAGAGGAAACGAGCTTGAGCTACTGCCTAAGAGATGAAGGTTAGACTTAAAAGTAAGATTCTTTCAACGGGCTAGTAGAGGAAACATGCAATTCAGTGAGTATATCGCTAACGAAGCCTTCATCTGTCACGACCAGAGAATCGGAGAGAATAGGAGCCTGGAGAGCAATGTTAGGAAGGAGGTTACATGGGATTTGGTGTTAAGATTTCAAAGTTAAGACTCTTTGTAAAAAAGCAATTCGAGCTATGGGGCTGAAGGAAAATCACACATACACACACACACACACACACACACACACACACACCAGCCAAGTCACACAGTTCCTTTTAGGTCATAACTTCCTCCGTTTATTTTCTGAAAATGAACTCAGTGGTGTCTTTTCTTCAGGCTAGGGGAAGGCACAGTGGTTGTGTGTATTAGAGTGAGAGAAAATTAAAATAGAAGAGGGTATTGTAACCTCATTTGGATGGGGCAAAGGTCAGTCTTTAGGGAGGATATTTAGGTAAAAGAGTACCAGAATGGGAAGGTGAGGAAATCTGGAAAATTGTTTTTGAGAGACTAATCAAAGTA